AGGGGGCTCAGGCCAGCTCTGCACAGAGGGGGGTCAGGGATTCAGCCCTGCAGCTTCTGCCACTAGGCTGGTTGGGGGCTTCAGCGCTGCATCTCCTGCTGGGGTCAGGGCTTCTCCTCCCCCCACCCCCATAGCACAGCTCCTGCCAGGGTCGGGGCATCTACTCCACCTAAACTGCCACTGCACCCACCAGCCCTTGGCTAGCTGGGCTCACTTGAGTCACCTGATGGCTGCAGTGGCAGGAGTGGAGCCTGAAACCCTACAGGTGGCCACGATGGCCATCAGCCCAAGAGGTGTGGGGCGGTTCCCGGTGAGCAGGGGTGGGGGCTTTGGGGAAGAGGCGGAGCAGGGGCGGGGGCAGTTTTCCTGGCTGGCTCAGCCAGGGGATCTGGCTGGCCAGGGCCCCTTCTGACTCTGGGCCCGGTGCAATGGGGAGCCACGGTAAACCTGGTACTGCATATTCTCACTGGCCCTTGGAGCTAGAAGATCCAGGAGGCTGGAGATCCTGGCTTACATTCACACTTTTAGCCAACTCTGCAGAACGAATACCACAGGTGGACAATTGAAGACCCATGTCACAGCAATTTACAGCTCCCTTATGCTTATTCTCATGATACATTGTCATAATAGGGTCTACAGATTTACCCCAATTGTGGGTTTAACTCCCAAAATGTGAGTGAAAGTTCATAAGATGTCACAATAACGTATAACAGGTGGTTTCTATGATTGGTAATAGTTTTGAAGGTGTAATGACAGGGTATTTTTAAGTAAAACAAAAAGGTAAAAGATGAAGCATTTTAAATTGTTGAAGGTAACGTGGCTAAAACAGACTTTCACTGAAATAACATCTTTACTAACCCCCTCTTGTTAATAGAATACCACTGTAATTCAGGGCTGCGGCTGCATTGACTGTCAATTTAATCTCAGTTCAACAGAACCAAGGGCTGTTGCAACACCTGAATTTTTGTGATAGTGTCCAATAGTTTTTGTTGTTGTTCTCTGCACATAGGACAGCACAGTTGTAGGGTCAGAGGTTGGATTCTATGATGGGCCAAGTTGCAACTAGTGGCCATGTTGTCTTTACAAATGTTGATGGTAAAACAGGTGGTCAGGATCTGTCATGGATTAAAAATGTCTGGGAGTGGGATTATTTACCATATTTGGGTGTTGCAACTGGTTCATGAAAGCAAAAGTGGCTGCAAAACAACTTAATTTTGTGTAGGGTTACCATATTCAAACATTTAAAAAAGAGGACACTCCATGGGGCCCCGGCCCCACCCCCAACTCTTCCCCGCCCCCAGCCCCACCCCAACCCCAACCCCACCCCTTCCCCGCCCCCATTTCAACCCCTTCCCCAAAGTCTCTGCCCCTCCTCTG